TTTATTTATTTGTTTATTTTAATGGAGGTCCTGGGATTGAACCAGGATCTCGTGCGCGCTAAGTATATGCTCTACCACCGAGCGCTACCCTCCCCCTAAAGCATTATATTAATAGATGCACAGCAGCCCGCCTGACGGTGGTCCAGAAATGTAGATGTAAACGTTAAGACTTACTAATAAGTAGAGTAAGAATATGGCCACACCTCTTCTATCTTCTTCATAAAATTAACTGCTGGGGCACCCTAATCCCTCTGAGCAGAAAGCCCGCTTGGCCCTCTGAAGGTCCCCAGCCTGTCCACCTCCCACCCAAGTTCTCCAAGAACGCTAGCGCTCTCCTCATCCTGAGCAGACTCCGGGTACCGAGCTCACAAAGCCGGAGGCCCAGCGCCGCAGCTCCCGGACTGCCACAAGGTGCCACTGCTAAAGGTCAGTCCTGTACACTCCGGACCACTGTCACCATCTGCCCCCCTGCAGGTGTCCGTGCTGGGGTGGCTTCTTGTATATAGCTCACAATTGCACTCTCAGCCTTTGTTCTCTGAGACACAGCCACTGGGAAGGCTTGCCGGATCTTGAGGCCCTTCCAAGATCAGCCCCATACTGTTCTGAAATCAACTCTGCTACCAGTTCTTAGGTCCCTGTTATGAACTTGGGATGAGCTTTGACTCTCTTTCCTTCTGAGTAACTTCATTTCAGGGTCTCACTCACATCCTGCCCACGGACCTTTTTGATTTCACACTGAGGAGCAGTGGTTGGCTGTTGACCCGTTTGGAGAACCCTGGGCTTCCTACGCCAAACAGTGAGGTTCCCCCTCCCCAGCCAACAGCTCTGCAGAGCAGGGAGTGTGCTGGCTGATACTGAGCCGTCTGGAAGGCAGCTCTGCTCACCACCACACCACCAGTGCCGCTGCATTTTGTTTTGGAAAAACAAAATGTTTAATGTTTTCCTTTCTTTGGGAAAATGGCCCTATGTTCATAGGAGACCATGGACACGTGAAAGTCCTACTTCAGTGTGATTCTCTAAACCTGTCCTGAAATGTCTTTGTAAATAAAAATCTCATCCTCCACGCACCCCATGACATATTGCTGCCCTACTGCTGGACTCTAGATTGTTGCCATATTTTAAAAACTATAATGGGGGGAGAGCATAGCTCAAGTGGTGGACCGCATGCTTAGCATGCACGAGGGCCTGGGTTCAATCCCCAGTGCTGCTATTAAAAAACAGCGATAGATAAAAAAAGCCTGATTCCTCCCCCCACCGAAAAAGATACAAATGTATTCTGTTACGGCTCTAGAGCTCAGACCTCTCTGGGCTAAAATCTAGGTGTCAGCAGGGCTGGTTCCTTCTGGAGGCTCTAGGGGAGAGTCTGCTTATTGCTTTTTCCAGGTCCCCGAGGCCACCTGGCTCCTTGGCCCCTTCCTCCCAACACTCCAACCTCTGCTTCAGACAGAGCATCTCCCACGGCCAACATTGACTTTCTTGCCCCCCTCATAGAGGATGCTTGTGATCATATGTAGAGCCCACTTGGATGATCCGGGGTAATCTCCTGATCTCAGGGTCTTCAGGTTAGTCCCATCTGCCAGTTCCCTTTCACATGTTAGGTAAGCTTTGTAGGTTCCAGGGATTAGGCTGCAGGCACTTTGGGGACCCAGTTCTCAGCTGACCCAACCAACATCTCCACTGGCAGATGAGTGAGCCTACAGGCAGGGTCAACATGCCAAGTAAAGAATTCCCTTGGAAACGCCAGTTTCACAATATTATCTGTAAAAGTATAGAAGGGAAAAGTCCTGCTACCACTTGCACAGATCAACCCCTTTGATTTCTCTTGTCTTCCTTCCTGTCCTTGGCTAAATGCAGAAATAATTTTAGGTAATTGCAGCCATAGGATTCATACAATTTTCTGTTCTAATTTTTTCACTTATACTATATACTTTAAAGATTTCATATCTGTAACTAAGAACTTATTTTAAATTATTCTTTAATGTATAAGAGGATCAGAGACTTCTTTAAAATACCAGGGGACCACTGAGATTACCAGGGGTACACAGGACTGCACCCATATGTTCCTAGGTGGGGTCTATACCACGATCCCTCCCTCAAAGCTCACAGTTTAAGATGCTTTCAATGGAAAGCTTGAGAAATGTGTCTTAACTCTTTCTTGTTGCTTGCAATCCCTTGGCTTTCTGCTAGGTGAAAAGGACAGGTAAGAGCCACGTGGACAGCAGGGGAAGAGGAGAGAAAACAAACGTATCAGAGGAAAGAGTGAACGGATGCTAGCCTGTGTTCCCTTCTGAATTTGTTTCCTAACTCATCCCCGCCGAGCAGCTGGGCTCTTAGAAGCCCGTGGTGTTGGCTGGACACTCGGGCCGCTCTTTCACTGAGACTATTTCTGGCTGAAAGAACAGCTGCCTTTGCCTCCCACAGAGAAGAACAAGCCGCCAGCATGAAAGCATCCGAAGGTTCTTCTGATTCTGCCATTTTCTTTTTTTAAATCCTATAAAAGTAAGGTGGCAGCAAATTTTACTGTAATAGGAAAAAAAAACCCCACAGCCCAACCCTTGGGCTTGTAGTTTCAGTAATTAGCTCAATGTGCTAATGAGAGTCTTCAGGGAGGACGGCATGAATTAATGGGTGAATTTCACTTTAATAAATGTATAGGCAATTTTCTAAATGCAGATGGCCGAGCCCGCCCTGATGTCTCTACCTAGAGCCACTCGATATGGTAAGTGTCAGAGGAAAGTGGTTAATTTGTAAAATGCTTCATGATCCTGATTAGAAGAGAAATCCTGCTAATGTTGGCTTTCCACCGTATTATTCATCTCGCCCAGGCAGAGAACCCATCTTGCCCCCACCTCCCTAGCGTCCCAAGGCTTTTAGTTGCTCCTATTCTGCTGAATGGGGAGACAGCTCTCCCCCTTCAGGGGAGCTGGGCTGGACCTCCCCACTTTGTGGGCTTTCTCTCCCAGGATCTGACCCCAAGGCCAGCCCAGGGGTCTTTATCTCCTGTTTTCCTGAGTACTGAAGGTGACCAGAATGTGGCCCAGGTGAGAACAACACACTGTTTTAGGGAAGGTACCTTCCCAGTTGTGCAACACTCCGAAGTCATCGTCACTTTAAGGAACTGTTTGCTGGTAGTTGGTTACACATGTTTAAACACACCAGGAAGATCAGAGAGCTAAGAGAAGATGTGAATTCCTCTCTTCTTTTAATTAACCCTCTGAATCAGGTTTGCTTTCCTGCTTTACAGGAAAAACCCAGGCTCCAATTTGAAAATGTGTTTCCAGGCCTTTGGAACTGGGTCTCTGCTCAGGATTTATCAAGCACTTTCCTGTGCACACCATTGGGAGGTCACAAGTACAGTGAGATTCAACTGCTCTGGATCAATAAACCTGAAAAATTACAGTAAGTCAACATTCATCACAGCCATTACCTCGACAACAAAAATCTCAACTCAACAAATCCTCTATTTGCTAGACTCAGGTTAACTGGAAAACCCAGTTTAATGGAAATGACTTTGACACCCATGAAGGGTCGGTAAAGCGCCACGTCTTAGGGGAACTTTTATGAACACGAGGTGGAATTTTCCCATCTCAACCCACAATGAGTAGTGAACTAAGTTCATCAGACACTGTTCTGAATCCAGCAGAAAAGTCCCGTCCAAACACAGAATCTGTATGGTTCCGGATTCACAGGTTGTTTTTTGTTTTGGGTTTTTTTTAAAAGAACCAAAATGGAATTTGGGGTTATTGAGTGTTCACAGCCCAGATGAGTAGAGGAGACCTGGAAGGGCTGGGATACTTGCTTTGAGCCGGCTGGACGGGATCCCAGCCTGCGGGTGGATGCGTGGCTCTCCGCGGCCCGGGAGGGAGGCCTCCAGTGTGCGCTTTCGGGCCCTGGCTGGGTCCTAGTCTTCGCAGTCAGTAGGCTGCTAAACTTAGACAAGAGCAACAGATTTAGCAAAGTGAAGAAACCAGCTTGGCCACACCAGGACACCCTGTGGCTCAGCCAGATGTGATTTACACGTCCGCCGCAGCTGCCCTCCCAGTGCCTGGGTCCAAGGAAGGCGGGAAAGCAGCCATCCATGTCTCCTTTCATGCATGAGCGGAGAATAGAGGCATGCCTGGCTTCCTTCCATGATGCAGCTTGTTGGGAGTTAAGCAGTTAAAAAACAGTGCGAAGAAAATTCTTGCTAAGAGTTAGAAGAAGGAGAGCATGAAAGGCCAGGAGCCCATCACCCCTCCTCACTCCTCCTTGAATCTTCCGACCAGAACCAGGGGTGCCCTGTTTTCTCTGCTGTGAGAAAGCCAGGACCACTGACAGTCGGCCTCTGTGGCTGGGGCTGTGCCATGTGCTTTGTGGTCCGCTTTGAAAAGGCCCTGGGTCCCCATGAGCATTGAGCAGGAGACCATCGCCACTCTGCCCCTGGGGCCATGTTCAAATACTGGGGGAACGGTGTGGACCCTGAAAGTGGCAGCGCTGGGGGGCCCAACCAGAGATGTTCTTCTCTTACTCAGTTCATTCATTTATTCAACAAATCTTTAACTGACTTCCTTCTCCCACCAGACACTAGCAGTGGGGATAAGATAGTGAGGGAAGCAGATGCAGCCCCTGACCCCATGGAGCTCACAGTCTGGTGGCTGTGAGCAAGGAAAACAATCCTCTCTGCAGTAAACTGATTAAGTTATAATGCCCCCTGCACCTCATCTGGTCAATACACCCAGTGCTTTGTTACGGTGGTTCTTGGGTGCTCAGGGGTCAGGAGAGTCTCATGGGGCCGGGACCAGGAATCCAGCTAGGATGGGCTCTAGACAGACAGCAGAGAGGTCAAGTGGAGCTTCCAGAGTCAGACTGCCCAGGTTATTGTCCATTACTCACCAGCTGTGTGGCCTTGGGCAGTCAACTGCGCATGCCTGAGCCTGTCTCCTCAGTTGTGGCTAGCACCTGGCTTCTGATGAGGTGAAACCTGGGCAGGTGTCCAGTGCCAAGCACAGGTCCTGGCACGTAGAACATCTTGGCTCTTGGCTTGCCAAGAGTTCTTGGCCAGAAATGCAGCTTGTTGAGGGCAATTCATTTTATCTGATTAACAGTAACTGCAATCTAGGCAGGATGGAGGGCCTGGGAGGCTATCACGGAAATATGGTAGCAGAATTCAAAATTAAGGCTGGTCCCAGGCAGGAAGGACATGCAGGCCCATGGCTGCAGCCGTCAGAGTGGTGGCCTGACCCCAGGCTGCCCCTGAGGCTCTCTGTTCTGCATTTCCTGAGTCAGCAGGACCGGGCAGTGAGCGGGTATTGGGGGGGCTGTGTCGGCAGCTGCTGTAAGTTCTGGAATCAGAAAGCTTTCCTGACTTTTCCCTCTTGTTCACCTTTAGGCAGAACAACTCATCCGAGGTCACATCACTCCTGTGTCTGAGCCCGGGCTCTTCAGGGGAAGACGGGACCAAGTGATTTTCTCTTAATTTTCCCTGGAAGCATAAGAAGTAAGGACTCCTGTCCTGGCATGCTGGTAGGAGAGTTTAAGTTCATAGTTTAGGTTTTAAAACTGCAATTTGAGCCCATTAGAGAGAGATCAGGCTACTGACGTGCACGGGAAAACAGTGCATTAGGCTATTTCCTTCCCGTAAAGACCTGTAAAAGCCAGTGTGATTTTTGCAGAATGAGGTTATTGCAGCCAGTAATCGGCTCAGGCAGGACCAGAAGCTCTGAAATCAAGCCAACGAGGTCAAAGCAGGTCTGTGTGCCTGAGAGTGGGAGCTGGGAGCCAGGCTCTGTGCCTGGTGTGGACTGTGAAGTAATTTATCTTAAGATCCATAAAAATCAGGTGGAGTCAGGATCAACCCCATTTTACGGATGGGGAAGCTGAGGCTCAGGCCACCAGGATCCTACTACTTGGCACTGGGAGTGCAGCAGCCTGAGAGATGAACGCCTCCTCCCAAACAAGAGTGCCTGATTTGAATCCCACCTCTGTACGCACGGGTGGGTGGCCTTGGGCACATTCTTGACTATAGGACCTCAGTTTCCTTGCCCCACAGGGCAGTGGAGAAGGTTAAAACAGAAAATGCACGAACCTGCTTAGCCCTGCTCCTATGTCTTGTCCTTAGAATCTCCACCCCTGCCCTTAGTGATGGAGGGGCGGGCCCTGTCCGCTCAGCCCAGGTACAGCTGCTGTATCCACAAGCGGGGAGACCACTGCCCAGACAGAAGGGGATGTCAGGTGCTGCCGCCAGGGCTCTCCGGGCCCTCTACACACACACCCACCCACTCCCCTCCACATGCCTCCTCCCAGCCCTGCCAGGGCTGGCTCGCTGTCTCCTTCTGAGAGCCGCCACCCGCTCTCACTTCCCAGCACTGTGGCTCCCTGCAAACACCACCCACCTTGGGTGGAGAATCCATGGAGCAGCAGCTTCCAGCCCATTTCTTGAACTTTTGCCTTTGGGTCACCCAGCTTCCTCATCTGGAAGCAGAGGTAATGAAGTGGCCTACCCTTGGGGGAAACTTTGAGAATAATTAATATAATTGTTTAGAGTGCTCTGAACTCTCCGGGGTTACGGTTTATCATGATGGCAATCACCATTGGGATATAATTAACTCACCATATAGTTTTCTCAGGAACCACATCTTTGAAAACTATTACTTGTAATTTTACAAATTGGATGGCCCCATCCTGGTCAGCAGCCAGCAGCAGACTTCTGAAGCAAGCCCAGGGGGACCTGCACTGGTGTCTCTGAGGATCCCAAAGCACAGGGAGGACAAACTGCCTCCTTGAGGATCCTTCACCCTGAGTCCGTAAAAGTGCAGCAGCACAGATTTCAGAATCAAAGCGGGATCCTGTTTCAAAATCGTTCCTCTTGAGATGCCAAGGCCAGGGGGCAGCCACATCCGCAGGAAGGCCGCTTCTCTCCTTCCAGGACCATGGCCCACCTGCATTTTACCTCTTCCCCAATCACCGCAATCACAAAACCCATTTTGATTTTCCTGAAAGAGCCTGTATTAATTGAATGCTACGTCTCTTCCAGGTAAAAAGGAAATGAGACATTCCCTATGGCTTTCATATATAGTCAGTTATGGCCGTATTGGCAGAGGGGGCAGCTGACCATCTACAGTGGAAGATGGGACGGCAGAAGGGATGAGAGACGGAGGGTAACAGTGGGGACTACGGTGTGGATTTGAGGGGGATGCTGAAGCCATCTTGCCTCGCTTTCCAGGTCTCAATGGCCGCCTAAGTCAGGAGTCGTGCCTTTTCTGAGGGGCCCTGCTTGTGCAGTCCCCATACTGAAGAAGTCCACCAGTGACCATGGTTGGAAGTTAGTGAACGTGGGAAGGTGGAGGATGCTTGCAGGGGGTGGGGGGGAGGGAGTTGGGAGCACGCATGCGTGCGCACGCTCGCACGCATGCGCACACACCGTGGCCACCTGCGCAAGTGTGGAGCCGCAAAGAGGGTCTAGCGGGAAGGATATGCGCGAGGTAGGCGAGACACAGAGGTCAGCTCTCGCCACTGCCACCTGGATTCTGCTTCTCAGCTGGCCACTGGAAGAGTATTTTACCCACCTTGGCAGGTATCACGTTATGAAGCTGATGTAAATCTCAGGCCTTACGGAATGTGGTTTGCAAGATGCCTCGGGCATTGCTGTGCACCCTGCCCCTCGGCCCTCGTTTCTGCGTTTTCTTAGTAGGTCTGTTGTTGCCTGAACGCCTTACATGCGCCTAGTTCTTTGCAGATCTGGCATGTGTGCTTGTGTCTTATATCTGCTGAGGACCTGTGGGCTTCTTGAGGCGGTACTGAGCACTCGCACCCTCGTCTCAGCTGGAAGAGGGAAAAGATGGGTGGGCCTGGCCAACGGGCAGTTTTTGAGTGGTATCCACAGAGCAGTCTGCTCACCTACCCAGTAACAGGAGGCATCGTGGCTGTGGGAGCACCAGCTGCTACCCTGAGAGGCCTCATGAATCCCTTCCTGTTCAGTAACTAAGGGTACAGAGCTCCCAGCCAGGCCCTTGACTGATGCAAAACTTAAAACTACCTCAGGCAATGAGAGGCACTGGAGAGCATGGCTTTGTGACTATTTCTTCTTCTTTCTCTTTTTTTCTTTTTTTTTTTCTTGATGTGTGCCGTCAAGTGTTCCCAAGGGCATCCACACTTTTCTTTATTTTAATTGAAGTATAGTCAATTTAGAATGTTGTGTTAATTTCTGGTATACAGCATAGTGATACAGCTACACATACATATATATCCTTTTCATTATAGGCTATTACAAGGTATTGAATAGAGTTCCCAGTGCTTTACAGTAGGACCTTGCTTTTTATCTATTTTATGTATAATGGTTTGTATCTGCAAACTCCCAGCTTATCCCTCCACCCCCTCCCTTTCCCCCCTGGTAAACATAAGCTCATTCTCTGTGTCTGTGAGTCTGTTTCTGTTTTTTAAATAAGTTCACTTGTGTTATTTTTTTTTTTTTTTAGATTCTACATATAAGTGGTATCGTGTGGTATTTTTCTTTCTCTTTCTGGCTTTCTTCACTTAGTAAGACAATCTCCAGGTCCATCCATGTTGCTGTAAATGGCATTATTTCATTCTTTTTTATGGTTGAGTAGTATTCCATTGTGTGTGTGTGTGTGTATGTACATATATATGTATGTATATACATACATACCACATCTTCTTTATCCAATCATTTCCAATTATTTCTTCTTCATTAATCACTTGCTGCAATTTTCAGGGTCATTCTTTCCCATAGATATCTGATTTAGGGAAAGCAGACCTTGGCTAGCTGTGGACAGTCTTGGAGTATTTTGGCCCTAAGACAATGACCTAGAAGTAATTGATGACACAGTGGTGATAGGGAGATGGGCCTTCCATGGTGTGGCTTTGGACAACTCAGAAATCATGGACCTGAGCAGTGGAAGAATTCCCAGGTTCAACCCAACAAGGTTTTCGTAACACCTCTGAGGGCCCTCCTCCGAGCCCAAGGATGCCGCTGCAGAAGTCTGCCCAGGCGGGCATCCCCGGGAGGGATGGGGGTGCGCTCCCACAGTGTCTAATTAGTGACTGTCCGGCTCACTTGAGGGTATATTCTGCAGAGCTTTCCCCCCATGTGCTTTATTGTCCTGTTTGGAGCTCCTTTAAATGAAAACAATGCAAGCCAGGGCGTTTCTCTCATGGCTGCCTCTGGTCTGTTTACTCCCAGCTCTCTTTAGGAAGGAAAAGGCTGGAAACTGCATCCTAATGGCCCAATTAGTCCTAATGCTGTGCAGTGTTGACTGTTTAGTTACCACCATATTGTGTACAGAACTAATTGTGGTGAAAGCAAATGAATGGTCAGGAAACAAACAGGCTACTAGAAAATAATTACTTGGAGTGTTTCTCTTTAGTACCTGTGCAGCGGATTTCATTATAGTCAACAGCCTCTAAGCTGCTCGAAATAGTGGTATTTGTCATTTTCATAGAAACTTGATAATGACATTAATTTATCTTAATGGCCCGTTCTATTGTTATAAATAGTAAAATTAGCTTAAATTGTCTTGCTTTTGCTGGTTTTGGATGGCTGCGGAGGGCCCCACAGCAGCCGACGAGTAGATAATTTGGTGTGCTTGACAGATTCCCAATAATCTGTTATGTGGAGCATGAGTAATGCTAGCACCATTAATGTTCATTTTCCTCTAAATTCATTACTGCCCTTTTCCCTTTTATCTTTTTTAATGTCTGCGCCATTTTTCTATGTTTCAAGTGGAGCCACAGAGCCTATTCAGATTCCGCCGGCTATTAACATTCTGCACATAGCGAACATCCCATGGAAAACAACTCTTTATGAAATGATGAGCCTGGTCGCTATTTACAACAGAAAAAAAAAAAAACCAGGCAGAACGGAGAGCTTACTGGTATCAGGGCCTGGGTATAATTAAGCCAAACGTAATTTTAAAGAAATTTAAATGTTTTCATTTTATGGCTAAGGTAAAATAGACTCAAGGGAGAATCTAAGAAGGTGTAAATGCATCACCACACTCTCTCCTCCCTTCCACATCGCTCCGGTCTCAACCCCCGGGGCATCTTATCAAAGGTGAGGAGGCAGCGTTCCCTATCAACTTGATTCTAATTAATCCCTAAGAAATGTTACGACTGATTTCATTTCTGTAAGCAGATATGTTTTCACAGTATCTGGAACAAACACAAAGGCTATTTATCATCAGAAAAACTCCTAGAATTCTGTTGGTTCCCTCTAACTTCCAAATCTTTGTCTGTGTCTCCCCTGTTAACTGGGAAAGACACCAAAATCAGTCACTTCTGTCCTTCAGGCTTTTATATTATAAGCTGCATCTTTTTAAAAAAAGAACCTAACCAAAAATAGCAAGCAAGCAAGCAAGCAAGCAAGCAAGAAAGAAAGAAAGAAAGAAAGAAAGAAAAGAAAGAAAGAAAGCGTGCTTTGTTCTCAAGATAAGGGAGATTCTCCTTGATGTATCTGTGCAGAACTCATCCCCAGGGTTGCATGGTCCCAGGGAAGAAGATGCACTGAATTTTTAAAAAGAGACCCCAGACATGTCTGTCAAACTAGAAGTCCCCCAAATGATGACTTTCACACTGAAATAGCAAATCAACATTTAAAGAACTTTCCCTGTCCGTGAGGCAAAGTCATTTCTTTTCTCCACTGCTACAAACATTTTAAAAGCAGTCTGTTCAGTAAAATCACCCAGATGCACTCCTGAGTATGTGTACGCCCAGGCCCTGCAAACCTTGGGGAGGAATACAGGATAATGTACTAATAATGTGATGTATCAGAGGGGCAATTCATAAAATATTTATCCTAAAGCAGAAAATGTGTCTGTCTCCTTGTTCATTTATAAAATAATAGTTTAGGGGAATTAGGTACCAGCTAAATCCCTTAGTCAATGTGGTTGGTTTCACCCAGAGTCCATTAGACCAGGCTATGTATCTGCTGAGGAAGACGCAGCCTGTCAGCGGTGCATAATGGATCATGAAAGATAAATGGATTAGGCAATTGAATAATTAGAGTAGTGCCCACCAGTGCGGCTCTAAGTAAAGGGCTGTGGGGATTGCCATTAGAAACCTCCATTTCAGTGGTTAGAAATCCATCTGGGAAAATTTGGCTGGTGCTGAAAGTTAGTGCCTGGTGGGGAACTAAGGGGAAAGAAGCTCCCCAGGGAGGGTCCTGGTACCCAAAACCCAATGTTGGGTGATTTGGGAGCCATGATGCTGGAGGGACTTCAGCCCTGCCCCCTCCCCCCACCTAAGTAAGTCTCACAAGCACCAGATTTGGTGGAATTGAACATTTCCCTGGACGGGGGGTGATCTGAACTGCTCCTCTGTCTTCAGGCTTGGAGCACTCAGAGATGCCTTAGGGAAAGGCTGTGCTGTGAATGCTGTACTCCGGGATTGTGCAGTACACACAACTGTACTCTGCCACCCATCAAGGGCCACACCTCTAACACTTTGTGTGGTGCCTGGCACATAGAGGCTGCTCAAAAATATCTGATGAGTGAACAGCAAATTGTCATGACCTTTACTGAATGCAGTGAGAAACAAAGGAAGACACACTGGAAACATTCAAAGCCACACAAACATTCAAACAACTGCTTCGGTCCAACAGGATCTAGTTCTATTCTGAAAACAATTGCTGGAAGGAAAGAGGTTTTTATTAAAGGTGTGACTGTATAGAGAGGGAAACAAAGTCCCAGAGCCCTTATTGGCTACTTATTAGTTGGGAGCCGGGGGCAAGTCACTGACCAACTCTAAGCCCCGTTTTCTCAGTGTTCCCGGAGTTGACAAGAGCCGGCTCTCAGGGCTCCAGGATCCAGTGAGGGACAGCGTGCCTGAGTGCGCTGTGGACTCTGAACAGTCAGAGTCTAGTTCACGGCCATCACTGCCAACCAGGAACTCACGCATGTCCGCAGGCAGCTCTCACTCATCAAACACAGGGTCTTACTGTCCACCGCACGTGTTCAAGTTGGGTCACATTGGCCCTGTTTCATAGAGACAGAAAGGAGGCTCAGGAATTTGCTCTGATTTGATAGCTGGTGGCTAATGACACAGGCAGGACTCAGACTCAGGTCTGCCCAGCACAGAGGCCTTTGGGCCACGGGTTTGGTTTGGCCTGTACTGAGGGGAGGTCCTGGCACGACAGGGAATGTGCTGGTCACGTGCGTACAGACAGGCTCTACGTGCAAAGCCCTGCCCTGGTGGAGGTACACCAGGGCGGGGGGCTCCTGGGGAGGGGCTGCTGGGGGTGCATTCTCTGTGTGTGCACCAGTCTCCTGCATGCTTTTCATCTTCAAAACCAAAACCCTGCAACCCATAAACAGCAGCTCCCGTTCCCTTTCCTCCCCGCCCCAGCACTATATTCTACTTTCTGCCTCATGGACTTGACTGCTCTGGGGACCTCGTGTCAGTGGTATTACACAGTGTTCGTCTTTTTGTGACTGACTTACCTCACGGAGCATAATGTCCCCAAGGCTCATTCACGGTGTAGCATGTGTCCAGATTTCCTTCCTTTTTAAGGCTTGATAATATTCTCTTGTGTGGACACACCACAGTTTGCTTATCTCTTCATCCATGGTTGGACACTTGGATTGCTTCCCCCTCTTGATTTTTGTGAATAGCGCTGCTGTGAACATGGCTGTACAAGTACCTCTTCAAGACCCTGCTTTCAATTCTTTTGGACATATACCCAGAATTTGAAGTGCTGGATCATGTTGTAATTTTCTGATTTTTTTGAAAAACGTCCATACTGTTTTTCCTAGTGTTTGCACCATTTTGCATTCCCACCAACAGTGCACAAAGGTTTCAATTTCTCTACATCCTCGCCAATCAGTTTTATTTTGGTTTTTTGATGGTAACCATCCTAACAGAGGTGAGGCAGTATCTCATTGTGGTTCTACTCATCTTTTAAGACCTAGGTTAAAACTCTTCTCTCCTGTCAAAATTCCCCCAACTTCTTCAAACAGAGTTAGCATCTTGTGTGCCCCGCTGACTCCTGTTCCCAACTCAGTCATTTATGAGATTCTGTATGTATTTATGTATCTGCATCCCCCAAAGGATGCTCAGTTCCTAGATGGTGGTCCCATTCACTCAGTGAGGTTTTTTCAGCATCCAGTACAAATAGGTACTCTAGAAATGTTTGTTGAATGAATAAAAAATGTTTGTCACTCACATTTAGTTTAACATTTTGTTGATTTACTGGTTTTAATTTTTACAGAGCTGTAACTTACATAAAGTGCACACTCATATCTTAAGTGTGCAGCTCAGTGAATTTTTAAATATGTTTATACCTGTGTAGCCATCTGTCCAGATCAAGACAGAACATTTCTAGCACCCTAAAAAGTTCCCTTGGGCCCGTTACTGGTCAAATACCCACTCTGCTAAGTAACTCCTGATTTTATTTTATTTTTTAACCCTCGATCGCTTTGCCTGTTCTTGAATGCATGTAAGTGGAATCACATGGCGCCTATGTTTTAATGCCTGACTTCCTTCACTCAACCAGGTGTCTGGGAAGTTCATCCTCGTTGCTGCATGTATCTGGGACTCATTTCTTTATATTGCTGAGAGGGATTCCATCCTGTGAGTAACCATGGTTCATTTAGCCATTCTCCTGCCAGTGGACATTTGGGTTGTTTCCAGTTTAAGGCTGTTGTAAACATTTTTGGCTCCTGCAAATAAAGATGCTCTAAGTATCCTCTATGTGTCTTTTGAGGGATGTTTCTCTTGTGTTCTCATTTCTCTTGTGTTCTCATTTCTCTTGTGTCTGTGCCTTTGAGCGGAATTGCTGGGCCATCTTGTACAGCTTTATAGCAGGTAGGGCCAAACAGTTTTTCAAAGTGCTTGACCGAATTCACACTCCCACCAGAAAGTGTGCGAGAGGTCCGGTGGTTCCCTGGCCTTGCCTACACTTGACATTGTTGGTCTTTTGGCGTCAGTCATTCTGGTGATTGAGGGTAGCTTTTTCATGATCTTTTCCCAAATTTCCAATTTTTTCTTTGTAGCAACATTTTATTTTTACACTGATATTTTAAAATTCATATGTTACACTTTCTTCTGTTTATTAAATGTCAATATGTTTACCTCCTTCTACATTTGAGAGAGGAATTTAAATTTTTTAAGCTTTGTTTTTTTATTTTGCTTTTTAAGTAGGGCTTTTGAAATGTAACTATTTAAGCAACTGGGTTGAAGCTCTGTCCTCACTGTGGCATGACAGGAGCAGCAGGTGGGGTCAAGAGGCTGGACCAGGGGTCATGGGGAGGGTATAGCTCAGCAGTGAATATGTGCTTAGCATGCACAAGGTCCTGGGTTCAATCCCCAGTCCCTCCATTAACAACAACAACAACAAAAAAGAGGCTGGACCAGAACTGAGGCTCGAGGGGTGAATCCCGGCTCTGCCACCTCAGCTGCTGTGGGGCTTTGGGCAAAGATCATACACCCTCTTGGTGACTCAGTTTCTTCATCCATAAAATGGGGAAGGGAACAGAACATGCCTCATGAACTTGTTCAGAGGATTAAATAAGTTACTACACTTAGATAACCCCTGGCACCGAGTTAATACTTATTAAATATTATCCTCACTCAGTTTCTTCAGTGACTTTTATTAAAAGTTGCTTCCTTTTCCTTTGTTTTCTGATTCCAGGTTAGTCCTAGTAACAGCTCTCACAAAAGTTTAAGCATATTATCTGGAACGCACGCTTTGCTTTGTTGCCTGTTTTTTCTATTCTTAAGCCAATATCATACAGTCCTAGGGACTGTCACTTGGTAACATATTTGATCATTTTCTGGGCAGTGAGTTCTCCTAAATCTGCTTTTATTTTCCTTTCCCAATGCAGTATTCTTGCCTATGTATTTTTCCAGTTTCTTAGTAGAATTCCTTTGGAAATTTTAATTAATTTTTGAACTCTCTCTATAATTTTTAAAATTAATTTCTATACAATTTCCATTTAAGGTTAAAGAAATATTGGCTAGGTAAAGAACTTTTACAACACAATAATAAAAAGACAGATAACCCAGTTTAAAAATGGGCAAAGGATTTGAATACAAATTTGTCTGAAAAAGATACACAGATGTCCAGTGAGCACAGGAAAACATCACTAGTCATTAGAGGAACGCAAATCAAAACCGGAGGGAGATACCACACCACACCCACTGGGACGGCTGTTGTAAAAAGGACACAGTAACAAATGCTGGTTTGGATGTGGAAAATGGGAACCCTCATATATTGCTGGTGGGAATGTAAAATGGTTCAGGTGCTTTGGAGAACAGTTTGACAGCTTCTCAAAAGTTAAACATAGTTACCACGGGACCCCACAGTTTCTTTCCTAGATGTCCACCCAAGAAAACTGCAAACATATGCCCACCCAAAAATTTGTAAATGAAAGTTCATAGCAGCTGTATTCTTAATAGCCAGAAAAGGGAAACAAGTGTCCATCAGCTGACGGGCGGATGGCCAGTGCAGGATATCTGCACAACAGAATACGGTTCGGCTGTTAAAAGGAGGGAAGTACTGATACACGCAGGCTCACATGGGTGAACCTTGAAAATACGCCGAGTACAGGAAGCCAGCCCTGGTGACCACGCAGCGTTTGATTCTATTCACATGAAATGTCCAGCCAGAACAGGCGAATCTATAGAGACGGAATGAAACTGTAGAGACTCATTGCTGCCAGGGCAAGGAGGACGGGATTGATTGCTGATGGAAAGACCTTTTGAAGGTCACAGAAATGTTCTAAAATTAGAGGGTGGTGATGGTGACAACTCTGTGACTGCACTGAACTGTACAGTTTAAAAGGGTGACATCTACGCTTTGTCTCAATTTAAAGAATTAAAAAGCAATTGGATTTTTATGTATCACCAATAAACTTAGAAAATATAATGTAAAAATATATTGTTTACAGTATCAACAAAGCATAAAATATATGAGTAAATCTAAGAAAATAATTTTCTAGAGAAAAATTAAAAGGCATTGAACATACTTTATTTTTTCATTTCAGCCGTTTTTAATGAGAGTTGTGTATAGGATGACTTTGTTCTTGCATCTTCTCCGTTGTTTCTTCCTTCTGTTTACCCTTTTCCTTTCCTCTGGATGGTTGAGGACCTTTCTGCGGTCCTGGTCCAGTTTTAGTCTAGTGATAACCCCCTTGCTGAGTGGAGCCCTGTGGATGGTTGTGGCAGCAGCCTTCTCCCCCTGCACTGGGTCAGTGTCAAGGACATGGCTCTTCTGGAAGCCCTGGGCTACTGTGCCAAATTGCTGACCTCTGTGGTGTCCTCCACAGCTGGAACCTCGTCATCTTTGCAAGTGGGCATGGACAAGCAGCCTACGCCTGTCTCAGCTCTTTGGAAAGCAGGGAAGTCAGTCTTCCTGGGCACGTGGGAAAGGGCATCGCAATGCCTTCTGTGGGTCTCCCTCTGGTCAGAAGTCACAAAGGGACTGGACTTCGTTTTGGCCACTGGCACTTCAGTGATCACCCCAAAGAGGAAGGCTTGAAACTTACTTTAAAAAACCAAAATAAGTGGAGAAAAAAATGAAATTCATGGGTAGAAAATATTGATACTGTAAATGTAATATTGTAAAGATGTCCGTTCTCTCTGAGTGAGCTCAGTGCAGTTTGGATCAAAATCCCAACTGTCTTTTGCAAGGAGCTTAGCGAGCTGAACCTACAGTTTTATGTAGGAGTAAAGAACTAAGAATAGACGAAGAATTCCTGAAGAAGAAAAACACAGAGGGACTTTCATGTCAAATATAAAGTCTCATTATACAGCTCTTAACCATGGGGAAAAGATGAACTCAGTGCCTGTCTGACACCAGGCACAAAGACCAGTTCTGACAAAAAGAGACTTAAACGTGAGAGGCAAAGCCTGCGGAAGGGAGTGGATCATAGTCACATAGGCATGAGGAAGAATTTCTTCAAAAAGTTCCCCAAAGTACTAATTATAAATGAAAAGATTGGTAAATGCAACTACATTAAAATTAAGAATTCCATTCTTTGGTGGGAGGGAAATAGCTCAGTGGTACAGCACATGCTTAGCATACATGAGGTCTTGGGTTCAATCCCCAGTACTTCCATTAAAAAAAAAACTCTACTCAAAAATACAAATTACTTTAAAAAAGGAATTCCATTCCTTAAAAGACAACATAAAGGACAATTTATATGAAATTCACAGTGGCATTCTGGCTTGGTTCCTGAAATGGCAAAAGGACGTTGCTGGGAAAAGTGGTGAAATCAGAATAAAGTCAAGAGTTTAGTTAATAGTAATATATACATATGTTTGTTTCTTTGCTGTGACACGTGCACTTGGTAATATAAGACGAACATTAGGGGAAGTTGGGTGAGGAGTAGATGGTGATTTCTCTGCAACTCTTCTGCAAATATAAATTATTTTTAAATAAAAAGCTTATTCACAAACTGGGAATTGATTTTTGTGATATATGTAATCAATAAAGGATTAACTTTTAAAAAACAAATATCAGTAAGAAAAAGTCATACCACCTAACAGTGAAATGGGCAAAAGTCATGAACAGGTATTTTTCAGAAGAGGAAAAATAAACAGTAAATAGATTTAAGGCAAGATGACCATCTCATCTGAGTAAGCAGACACCTGTAACTTAATGCTCCAGTGCCATCCCATCTCAGTAATCCGTCTTACAACCTGCTAGTAGGAATGTAAAATGGCCCAGCTACTTGGCAAACAAACTGGAGGCCCAGCAATTCCTCTTCTGAGTACATGCCCTAGAGTCACTCTTGTACTTGGAGGACAAGAGGAAACTGGAGGATGTTCATAGCAGCACTGCTCCTAACAGACAAAACCTAGGAACAACTGAAGTGTCCAACAACAGAAGATTGGAGAAGCAAATCACCCTGTGGAATATTATATAACAGTGAAAATTGATGCCCATCAGCAATACGCAAAAATAAGGATGAATGTTAGAAACAATGTTGAATCCAAAAAAGTCTTATCTGAGACAACATATAGTATAATATTTTATGAAGTTTGAAATCAAGCAGAATTAAACTTCATGTTATAAAACTGTATATAAAAAAGTAGGGAGTTGATCAACAGAACATTTAGGATGGTAGTCCCTCCAGGGTTGAGGATGGGTCAGGGGGCTGGGTTTAGGGAGGGACATTCTAGTGCTTTGAGTGACCTTGGTGACCATCCTGTTTTTAGGCCAGGTGGGTTCAAGATGATCATTTATTATTATGTCTCATCTTACATACATTATTTTGTATCTATTAAAGGTGGTCAAAATTTTAAAACTTAAAGATAGGTTAGGGAGACAAGCAATGGGCAGAGCAAGCATATTGCCAGGAAGTGTGATGATGGCTTTTTCTTTTCTTTTCTTTTTTAACTCTAGTGTGTCCAGAGGAAAATGGAATCTTTGAAAGTCTTCGAGAGACAATGGAAGTAACCACCTGTTTTCTCAGCTGGGATTTATGCCAAGAATGTAGAAAAGACTGTGTCTGGAGAGTGTGGGTGGATTCACATGAAGATGCTGTTCAGACTCTCAACAAACCTCCTCTAAGAGCGGTGAGTGCTGTGTCCACCGGGTCTGTTTCTGGTTGTAAATAAGTTCATTTGTGTCATTTTTTAAGATTCCACATATAAGTGATATCATATGATATTTTTCTTTCTCTTTCTGACTTACTTCGCTTAGAATGATGATCTCCAGGTCCATCCATGTTGCTGCAAATGGCATTATTTCATTCTTTTTTATGGCTGAATAGTACTCTGTTGTATAACTATACCACAGTTTCTTTATCCAGTCATCTGTCCATGGACATTTAGGTTGCTTCCGTGTCTTGTGTCTTGGCTGTTGTAACTAGTGCTTCTGTGAACATTGGGGTGCATGAAATTTTTTAATTGTATTTTCTCCAGATATATGCCCAGGACTGGGGTTGCTGGATCATAGGGTAAGTCTATTTTTAGGTTTTTTAAGGACCCTCCATACTGTTCTCCATAGTAACTGCACCAGATTACATCCCACCAACAATGTGGGAGGGTTCCCTTTTCTCCACACCCTTTCCAGCATTTATTACTTGAGTTTTGATGATGGCCATTCTGACTGGTATGAGGGGATATGTGAAGCTAGTTTTGGCTTGTTTTTAGAACAAGGTGTGGTGAGGAGGCTCTGGCGGAGTTGGACTTACACCGGGTTTGGAGGGCGGTTTTCTCCCACATCTGTTTCAGCTAAGTGACAAGACACTTGGGCTCAGAGTTGAGGGTAATCTGCAGGCTGTCACAAGAGGCTCTGTGTTCCCTTGTGCTGGCCACCCAGAGTCCAGGTGAGGAGGCACCGAGTGGGGACACAGCCCGCAGACCTGTGGTGCTTGCGGGTGTCATTTGCTGACCCTCTGCCCACAGGACATCCCGTGACACCTCGGGCTGCGCAGCTCTTCGCAATCACCAGTTGGCTTGTGGGATTCTACACTGGACCCGTCAATCTGGTACCGCCACCGGGTGAGGAAACTGAGTGCAGGAAACCGGGCTGGGAAGGGAAGGGTGCCCTGTGGCTCCAGATTCTCTCCTTTGGGTTCCACCTGAAGCCGGGTCCACCTGGCCAGGAGTATTATTCTTATTAAAGCATCTTCGCTATGGCCAGTGCCCATTATGGTCAAACCTTTGGGAAGTTCGTAACTGCCTCTCACTAATTTCTCCAGAATCTTCTACTACGTTCTAGGTGTGCTGCTTCTATGTCACACATCCTCTTCCTAGTGTTACCTGGGTGAGTGAAATGAGGAGTGAATGTGTGAAGAGACACAAGGAATGTGGCTCACATGACTGAGCTTCTAAATGAGGACAGGAGGGGAGACCTCTTGTCTTATCTCTGTCTTAGCATTACTTAAATCCTTTTCATCTTTATCTCTTAGCTTTTCTTTTAGACCCCAGCGCCTTGTCTGACCTAATTGTGAAATTTCTCCCTTATGCCAAGACCCTCAAATAATGAAATCCCTCCAATTTGGATTTGGTTGGGAAGAAGTCACAATTGAATGTCCTGAACTAAAGTGTTCTTAAGTCCCCTCCCAGCTGTGAGACAGACCTAGGGGCTTGGGAACAGGGGTGAGAGGTGACAGCTGATGGGGAACGGGTAGGGACACCCCCATCACGAAGCCATAACGTCCATTCTGGATGTCTCTAATGGGGAGGTGCCTCCTGGCTGGCAGGTGGTGGAAGTACATTGGGCAAGTTACTTTACTGAATCCTACATCTGTGAAATGGGAGTGATAGTAATTGCTTTGCTCTGGGTCAGGAGACTGAGTTCCGCTTTTATCTCTGTCCCTTCCCAGCTCAGTGTCTGTAGAAAACGCTCAGCTTGCTGAGCCTAAGTTTCTTCACTGTCCAGTAAGGAGCTCCGTGTGTCTGCAGGGCCAAATCCCATGTGCTAGGTTATTTACCTGAGTTGTCTTCATCGGAGTAACATGCAGATTGGGGTATGGTTAATCGTTCGTTAAATAGTTAAGTTTTTATTTTGGGGAAACGCCTACTGTACACAGTGCATATGACAAAGGTTTGCATCCTATGAATTACTTTCCCATTTGAAACCCAGAATCTTGCTCAAATGGCTTTCCAACCCACATTGTACTGAAGTATCCTGTTTGTTCCATTAACTATTCACAGAGTCAACTGGGGAACCGCTGTTATTAATTTCAATGGAAAGCTAAAATGCAGTTCATTTTCTATAATTGCAGGCCCGCGGTCCAAAGAGCCAGCAAAAGCTTTTAATCTGAGGCATTTTTAGAGGAGTATGATCAGAATTACATTGAGCATCTTTTGAAGGTACATAATTATGAAAACCTCAATAACGTGGTCATTCAAAGAGCCCAAACCAGAGATGCTAAACTCAACATGCAGGGGACAAGGCAAATTGCCGTCTTAGTTACTGAAGATGGAGAAACGCCCACGGGGAAGGTCGACAGTGTTTGCACGCCTTGCTTTTCTATTTTACTCCAAAGATATGAGCTCTTCATGCCACATGGGAGGGGGATGTAGCACTCCCGTCGCATCTGTAAGAC